AGCTGGGACCCACACATGGGCACAACTAGGGTGACCAGACAGCAAGTGTGAAAAATCGGGACTGGGTGGGGGGTAATAGGAGCCTATATAAGAAAAAGACCCCAAAATCGGGACTGTCCCTATAAAATCGGGACATCTGGTCACCCTAGCACACCCCCAGGGGGTGGTGGGGACTCACACATGTGAAACGGAGCTCATTTCTAGTTCAGGCCCATCTTTTCAAAAAAGAACTTTAGGTAGGGTTAACATACATCCATATTTTCCCAGACATGTCAGGCTTTTTGGTTCTTAAATCACCGTTTGGGAGGAATTTTTAAAATTTTAAAATTCCCGGGGCCCGGGAAAATACGGACGTATGGTAACCCTATTGGTACAAAAATACATACTGTGGCACGTCCCTTAAATCAGAACTTTTTATAGGGAACTGGTTGCTAAGAAATGAAAGGCTTTTTTTTACATTTGTTTTTTTTAAGTCATCCCTACCGGGGTCCCGCCGAAAATGTTCGAATTGGGCCCTGCACTTCCTAAAGCCGGCCCTGGATGGGGTGTCAGAGAGTCTGTTACAGCACCCTGATTCTGGGGGCTGCTCTGTGCCAGAATAAGGCGTGAGCTAGAGGACCTTTGGCGCCGGATCTCAAAGTTGGGGTTCAGTTGGCACAGAAGTTGGCTGCCCCAGCTGAGAACTCCTTTCACTAGCAGGAATTCTCAGCTGGCCTTTTATGGCCAGAAGCTGGGTCTTCCCATGGGCCCCAGATTGAGAATCTGACCCATCGTCTTTTTATGGCATGAAATTCCTCCAAAATCCAGTTTTTGTTGCACTAATTTGCATTAAGTGTTTTACCTTAACAAATGTCTTTTCCCAAACACGTGTTGGAAGCTGGCCTTTTACTCTGCCAGACATTGGCTTGATTTCTGGATTTTTTTTTTTTTTTTTTGCTTTCTTATCAGTCAATGAAAGCAGAACACAACTAGGGTGTGATCTCTACCTAAGAGGGGATGTGTTCAGAATAATGTCAGAGCCGTATCTTTCCATGACAGAAAGTTTATTTGCGATTTGCCAGTATTGCATAACCATGGCATAGGTTGGGTGGAAGAGGGGAAACCGTTTCAGTTGCCACAGAGTGTGACTTACCTTTTTGCAGAGTTGAAAAAGGTCTGTGTGACTGATTCTCTTAACATTCCTCTGGTTCAAAACCCCCTTCCTATTAGACACAGATGAGAGGCGATGAAACCACAAAACAAATAGGATGTGAGCTCAACAAAAAGGGGAGGCGTGTTCCTCAAAGTGTCAGAGTCATTAAACTTCTTCCATCCAAAAACCTGCTTAAATGAGATCAAATGTCAGGCATCCAAATGAATCCACCCATATAGCACATATTGTTCTGGGCAATTTAATACCAGAAACCCAGTCAAACAATGCTTCCAATTCATTCTTTTCTGAATAACAAAACAGACACAAGTCAGTACATTTCCACTTTGCTATAAAGTTTGTAAAGTTCTCAGCTTGGCAAATGGGAAATCTGAGACATCCTGGAGCAGGGATATTGTACATAGTGAGGGGACACCACAGTCTCCTTCACTAGATAGTCTAGAGATTGAGACAATTACTGGACATTCATAACCAACACAATCAATAAAATGTTATCAAAATATTACAGTCCACTGAATTCACAGGAGAAAAGGAGCTAAGAATTTACTGTAGATCATTCCGAAATGTCTTTCATAAGCATGGTGGGAGTTGTAGTTTACACAACCTCCGTTAAAGTTAAGGAGCCTGAGTGGAGATATGTCAGAACAAGAAGCAATGGTCTCAAGGTGCAATGGGGGAGGTCTAGGTTTGATATTAGGCAACACTATTTCACTAGGAGGGTGGTGAAGCACTGGAATGGGTTACCTAGGGAGGTGGTGGAATCTCCATCCTTAGAGGTTTTTAAGGCCTGGCTTGACAAAGCCCTGGCTGGGATGATTTAGTTGGGGATTGGTCCTGCTTTGAGCAGTGGGTTGGACTAGATGACCTCCTGAGGTCCCTTCCAACCCAGATATTCTATGATTCTATGTCAGTTTACACTAGCTGGGGATCTGGTAGCTAGTCTGAGAATAATTGAAGTCCTGACCCTTTTACTAGTCTAGTAACTAACATGATCCTAACCCAGGTTTCTCGCATAGCGGTTACTCTGATGGATGTTTTCTTGTGTTAAACACCGGGTCCATATAATTTTAAATGACAACAAATGGGCAGCAGTGAATCCCCGGGAATTAATTCCATCTCAAGGCCCTGGTGACAACCGAAGGAATGAGAATTTAATAACCTTTAGTGGGATTGTCTCCCTTCAGCTCTGCTATTATTTTCTATGTATAAAATGCGCCCCCCGGGAATCGGAATCGGACTGGCTAACTGCAAAGTTATCTGGCAGAGCTACACAACAGGACCTGTTAGCCAGTGGTTGCAATCCTGTCAGAAGAACACATTCAAAACAGGAGCACCCCGCCTTCCAGACAGACTGTATTAAGCGCCAACATTGCGCTCAGCATGATACAGGACATACAAGGAAGGCACAAGGTAGACATAGAGAAGGCAGAACTATCTGAGAAGACAGGGGAGAGTGGTAGTCTCTCAATTAGGTTTGGTAAGTCCAACTCAAGACTTTAAACTGCCCCTGGAAACCCAAAGGCAGCCAGTGCAGATCATGGGGCACTGGTTGAATATGCTCAGGGGAAGATACTCCCTTTACCTGTAGGCCTTTGCATTCTGCACTAGCATGAGATCCCAGATGATTTTATGTTAGTGATATGAGTATTATTTGTACCCGATACTAAAGGCATTTCACCGCCTCGTCTTTTGTATCAGACCCAGCGTGAGTTGACAGTTGGGTTCTCAAAGTTTCTGTCGAAGGATGAGGTGTCAAAGACGTTGGCATCAGCTGTGGTTTACAAAAAAATCGAAGTTCAATCCTTCTCCTTTCAGCCACATCCAGCCTCTCTGAGGCTTAAGGCATCTAGTTTCTGAGTTCAAGTCCTGTCTTGGGAATCATTGGCAATCTGTGACTCTGGGCAGCTCTACATTCAGCAGCTAATCAAGTGACAACCTTTATGTTGGATGGACGCCCATTCTCTCCCCCAACCCCTCCATGCTAAAGGAGATTTTGGGTCCTAATTTTTAAACGAGTCTCTCACTCCCGTCTCCAATTCCATGGATGCAATTTTTGCCCTCACACCCCAGCCAGATGCCCAAGAGCTGAGCTCTGCAGCTGCGATTAGTTGTAGAATTCTAGGCACAGATTTTTGTTAGCACAAATGCGCATCTGCACAGAGGCCCTTTGTGTGTATTTTGGAGGCTCAACATGGAAAAGGGTTCGAATTTAACCAGCTATTGCCATGGTCCCCATACCCCTTGCTGGTCTCACATGGTCTGCCACTTCCCAAGGGGAAAAAGTGGGGCGGGAAATCTCTTGAGGTTTAACCCCTTGTGGCCCACAGCTGCTACCACTGCCTCTTAAAAGTCCCATCTGTCATTACAGAAACTGCTCAGGTGCTACTAATTGCTAAAGAAAAGACGAAATGTCAACAAGGGGAAGTTGGAGATGCCTGGGATTAGATAACACTCACTTTGTTGTGAAAAACCAGGGGATGAATGGGGATCACACCTTGTTGCAAAGAAGGTGGGCGGAATTAGTTTAGCTATTGTCTGCCATTCAACCTCTTATTGTCTTTCCCAAGCAGCGTGAAAAATCTAAAAAAAAAATGTACAGCAAAGCAGGAGGCGGGGCTCTGTAATTAGAGATTTAATCCCTTTATGACTCAGACTTGCTTTTCCAGTACAGCTGGATCTCTGGGGGGGGGGAGGAAGAAATGGTCAGAACCACTAAAAGGAAAAACCCACCCAGAGGTGCATTGATAAAGCTACCTGCTAGGAGCTCCAGGTTGCGAGGAGCTGCTCAAGATGAAGGGGCTTCTGTGTGTTCTCCTGGCTGCGGTTGTGTGCAAGGAGCTAGGTAAGATTCTGCTTTATTAAGCAAGCCCTGATTTTGTGGTGGGGTAGGAAGGGTGACTGAAGGGACATCTGTGACCAAATGGCATTGACTTCAACGGCAGAAAGATCTGGGAACCTAGCAGTGAAGTCATGGGTGGTGGCCTGATGTGACAGAGGTGCTCTTTGCAGCCTGCCCAGATGTTTCAGAGCATCTCTTACAAAAATAGTAAGTTTCAGGCTGGGATCCCTAACCCAGGATCTATTCTTTTAGCAGCTATTAATGGATGTCTCTCCACTGATAGATATTACTTGGCTTTATGTGTGATTTCTTTCATCCCCTCTTGGCTCTGCCTTTGCCATGAGGCCTGATGCTTTAGAGGGTTTGTTGCGTGATCGTATTCCCACGGGCTGGTGTTCTTCTCGCCTGATACAAACCCAGGAGTCTCTACACTCTTTTACACACTCTGCTTCAGCTGTCTTCTCCAGCGGCTTGTTTCATGCACCACATGTGATTCATAAAAAGAACAGAAGTACTTGTGGCACCTTAGAGACTAACACATTTATTTGAGCATAAGCTTTCGTGGACTACAGCCCACTTCTTCGGATGCTGTAGGCCCCGCAAGATTATGCTTCAATAAAAGG